AACTTAATATGTTTTAATTTTATTTTTTAATAAAAGTAAATCTATCAGGGCCCTCCCTGGTGGCACAACGGGTTAAAGCACAGCTCTGAGAATCTAAAGGTGCATCCGCATGAGTTCGATTCCCGCCTGCCCCGGAGGTGGCAGACCTCTCCTGACTCGCCGGCTGCTCCCCTCAGCAGTGTACCTCATCGATCTACCTGTTCTGCTCCCCACTCTGTCTCTGGTGAAGCCTCTCACCGCCCCTGAGCCTCTGGCTTGCACCCCAGTTCTGTACACACAATCTTTAAAAAAAAAAAAGTAAATCTATCAGTAAATATTATCTATTTTAATCGCCACATGTTAGAAATCCAAAATAGTTTTGGGTCATTTGATATTGAGTAGGCTTGCAGGTAATAATGACCTTGCCTCTACTAGTAATGGAAACAGGTAATAATGACTTTGCCTCTAATGGTAAAGGGATAGTTCATGGCATGTAGGGCTAAAACAATGACTTAATTACTCCTCTTTGTAATCAAATGCTTACAAAAAGAAGGTAAATATTTGGTTGACTGTATATTGCCAAAGATTATTTTATTCTCAATAAAGAATATAATAGATTGACTGCTTGCTTCTACATTTACTCACTTGTAAACCCAATATGTTTTGAGAAAGAATATGAGCTTAGAGATTTGAATTCAAGAGGCAGACGAGTCACCAGAAATTTATGATGTCCCTAAAAGAAATCCTGTCTTATGTAGTCACATATTTCTGAGAACCAGATCCAGAGTCTAATTATTTGATGAAGGAATGACAATTTACCTGTAGATGATAAGAGATATTGGCATGATAGTGATTAAAGTGAACATAGTAATATGGCCTAAATCCCCCTGTCAAAGAAAGTGGCAATAAGTAACAAACATTTGTAGGATTCCTATTTAATTTTTAACCACCATTTTTGGCAATAAAATTTTGACATCATTTTATCTACAGTAAACCTTGAAAGCATTTACATTTATAAGTTACTGAAAAGATTAATTCTGAAGTAGTGGAATAGACTGGCCATCAATGGACTTTAGGTAGTATGACAAACAATTCAGATTGTTATCTTGAAGGTATAGCCAACCTCAGTGACAAACCAGGTGAGTTTAATAAATGGATTTTGTGACAAAGTTCAATATAGGCCCATATTATAAATATTTAATGGTTCTAAGTACAAAAAGCAAAATAAAGGGTAATGCACTTCATAAAAAGAATGGCAGTAAGAAGCATTGGGACCACCTTTTTTGGATCTTAGCTCCACTATTTACTAGCTATATAATCTTTGACAAGATAACTAGTTCCTTCACTGCAAAATGGGAATAAACCTACTTTTCATGTTTTCTTTTATGGAGCTTCAATGAGGTAACATCCAAAGTTGCATATGGTTGGTGCCATAAATTTTTCTCTTAAAGCCCTTGCTCAGTTTTCTTCCCAGGCATTACTTTAGACAAATGGAAAAGAAATTTATACTCTTGGGCTAATCAACTAAATCAATGCTTCTCAAACCTTAACACACTTGATTTACCTGGGATCTTATAAAAATGCAGATTGTGCTCAGGAGGCCTGGGGTAGACTCAGAAATTCTGCATGGCTAACACATTCTTAGCAGAATTGGGCTCTTTCACAGACCTCCTTTGTACAGGCAGGTGTCAAGTCATGGTACCTGCTTTTATCATAGAGGAGAATGTCACGCTCAGGACCCCACCTGAAGGAAAGTGCAGACTTTCAGGTCATAATCTGCTCGATTCTATGGTTTTGGAATCAAGCAGATTCTCTGGTTTTGGATGAGTACTTGACTGAATGGATTACAAATTCATCTAAAATAGATAGGTATTCATGTATCATTAAATCCTTAATTCTCATTAAACAAATTGAAACAAAGAGATGGTAAGTTTGTGACATTCTCTATTAGTTAAAATAGCTTTTACCTGGCCTGGTTTAAAATTGTTTTTATAAAGTAATCATGTATTTCATTAGTATTCTTTTGTTTACCCTTTGGCAGAGTTAGTGATGCAACTCAGGCCTTTTCAAAGTATGAAGGTCTGGTTTTAGTTAAAACACTTTTTATTAATTTTGAATTGTAATCTTTTCATTTAATTTTATTTTTTTCAGGGCCTGAGTTGCAGAACATTGGTATTACCAACTAATTTCATGGTTCATGGTTGAACATAAGGCTTTAATTCAATTGTGGACATTTAAAATATTTTAAGCAACTGGCACAGTGTAAATTCTTAATATTCAGCCAGAAAGGAGCCATTGTTATTTATAAAAGCAGCAAAAAATGATTGGCAATCACCTAGTCATTAGATTTTTAAAAAAATCCATCACCTTGAGAAGGCTTAATCCATGTAATATATGAAGAAAAGATTACTGTGAACAAATCTTAGAAGGCAGAGATTACTAAGAGGAAATTGTCACGCTTGCTGTGAAATAATCATCTTAAATATAATAGAGGCACATCAACTCCATAAATATGAAGGGAATGATTTCACAAACCTTTGTGATTAAATTTGTAATTTTTTGAATTTTCACTGTGTAGCTAAATTATAGCTATGTTTTATTCTGGAAGAAAAAAAACTAATGATATTTAGAAAAATGATCAAAGGCCAAACTCCAAATGTATTCAGCAAAGGAAAAGTATTAAATATTAAATCTAACCCTGTACCTCCAGCTAACAAATACACGTGTATCTTAAGCAGTGTCTGAAATGTAATCACATGATTTTCCTTGGATCTGCTTAACATCAAACATCCAGGTGGCAGAAGAAATACTTTATTACTCAGTTTTTCTAATTAACAAATAGGAAGCTTATTGCATACAATAAACTTTGGAAGGCCAGACAACTTTCAGTTGTCTTTTGGAGGTCATAATGTCAATCTAAATTTCAATTTTCTCGAAAAAACTCTGGCTTTAAATAAGAAACCAATACTAAGGCTTTGGACTTTGAAAGTAGGGCTTCACATAGCCAGCCACAAGGGAAGTGTGGGAAGTGTTAAGGCTAACAAACTTGGAGCTTTAATCCTTTTATTAATACAGGTTACAGGAATACAGTTTTGAATTCCTAATGCAATATTTCACTTTGTGTACCATACTATATGAAAAGAAATATTTCATTCATTCAGTTGTTAGTCTCTTGACCTTGCAAAGGATAGTGGGATGCTTATCTGAAGAACCCATTCCAATCTTAACACCAATCTCCTTGGACCATAGCTTCCTTAGATATGAAGCAATAGTATTGAAGATAGTGAAAAACTCATAACTGGTATAAAACAAGTATAAAATAATATGCCAGGGTGACAATCGTATTCTTAGACTCCATGTCTGGGTGTTTTACCTTCATGCTACCCTGACTCAGGTAGCTGTATTGGCTCATATTTGCAGCTCTAAAATGATGTGAGACCATATTTCTTTCCTCTAGGCAAAGGTCCACCCAAATTATTAAAAATGATGGCTTTTCATCTTGTTTAAAAAATTATGCATAGGGGTAACATTTAAAAAAATGTATGTATGAAGAAAACGTTTTGTATATCACAGTTGTAATAAAAATACTTTAGCATTACAGTATATTCTTGATATAATTTTAAAACATCTCTTTAAATATGCACACTTGTAATTGTGACATTGTGTTAATTAAGTGAAAATTAGCTATCTTATATATTGTCTTTCCTAGAATAAATAATCTCAACACTTTCCTCTCATGTCTTCATGTATCTATGATTTTCTCTTAGTTTTTTTTTATTGCCTTCTCCCTCCCTGAATTCTCCATTATTCCTTTTTTGTTTTTTAAAATTTATTTTATTTATTTGTATATGCAAGAGCTGAGGTTTAGGCCAGTGGTGCTAGTAGAGGAGGGTGATAGGTATTATCACCAGGGACTGAGTGGGAGCAGAACAGGTAGATCTGCTGAAACACACTGCTGAGGGGAGCAGCAGGTCAAACAGGAGAGGTCTGCTATGCTTTGTGAGTCAGCTCCCTGGCCAGGGATTGGACTACAGTGGCTGGTGATAGTTTGATAGTTCTGAGACTTAATCCTTTGTGCCACCAGGGAGGCCCCTATTATTTTTTATTTGTTTAGTCAAGTGTATCCATTTACTTACTCAACAAATTTTTAAAGGTCATTACTTGTCTTAGATACTGGGAATATCTAAATGAACAATTTCTGTAGAAATGTATAAGATAGTAATCAAGAGATAGGTAATTATTAAAATATTAGGCATGATGATTTTAAAATGAAGTAATTCATTCATGGAAAGCAAAGGCACGTGTCCCTCTCCTTTAGCTATGAATCCTGAATATAGAGGAGGAGTTAGAGCCTCAGAAGAGAAAGAACATCAAATACAAGCAAAAGAGGCAGGGCAAACATAATAGATTGAGGGAATAGACTGGTAGTTGGGAATGTATCTTGATAGTAAGAAATGAAGCTGGAGAGGTGGGATAAGTATGTATTCTACAAGAGATAGTAAATGTGATCCGTGATAGATTTAGATCAGGGTAGTGACATAATCAGATAATCATTTTCCAATAATTTTCCAGAGGAAGAAAGAGCTAGAAAACATCAAGACAATGTACAGATAAGCTTTTCACTATGTGACACTAATGCCCATACCAACACCATTCCTGACAGCAGCAGGGAAATTTATTTAGAGTACACTGAGTTAAATCATTATTCCTCAGAACTGATCAGTATTTTTCAACTTTATTGAGCCATCACTAACATACAATGTTGTGTATGTTCAGGTGTGTTACTTGATGTTATCATTTGATGGCTTGACATATAGTCATGTGCTGTATAAAGATGTTTTTAGTCCCTGAAGGACTGCATGTGATGGTGGTTTCCAGACTTTGATCACCTAGGGACATGACACTGTAGCATCTACATTGATAGCCACATGTGTCGTGATGTCTACTGTGTTTAGTGTTCCTATCTTTCTTTGCATTGATTTCCCCATACTTGACTTAATCTTGTGTTTTGTTTATCACAGCCCCTAAGTGTACAAAATCCACTACTAATGTGCCTGCCAGCAGAAAGTCATGGAATGCTTGACCTGGAAATGAGACTTAATGTGATTACGAATGAGGGAAACAGAAAATCAACAGTGGGAACTGCTTACCAGTCAGGACTGTTGCATCTTGTCATTGCTATGATTTTGAAGGATAACAACAAAATGACCAAAGCTGTTAAAAGCAAACTGTTGAAACCAATTAGATGAATAGAAATTCAAGACGGGCATATGTCAGATATGTAGAACATTTTAGTGACCTGGACTGAAGACAGTGTATCCTTCTCAGCACTATGATGACTATGACCAAAGTAAAAAAAAGTTGTTTTTTTTTGCAAGGTTGAAAGAAAATTTTGGAACCATTATAATGTTGAGTTTACAACTAACTGTACCCATGTTATAATTGAGTCTATACCACATTCACCTTTACCTCTGGGAAATACCAGTCTAATCTCTGATTATTTGAGTGTGCTTTTTAGCCTTAGATTTTTACTTTTTAGTGAACTCATATAGAATTTCTAATTTTCTGTCTGGTTTATTTCATAAACCAGAGGTTTATGAACCTGAGGTTCATCCATATTGTCAGTATTTCCTTCTTTCTTGTCACTGAATAACAAACCTTCCATAATATATAATGTAATATCATGTAACACATCTTCATTAACCAGTTATATATATATATATATATATATATAAACATGTGTATCATATACATACATTCACATACATATATCACTTAGTGCATTTTTCCAATTTTTGGCTTTCATGCACAATGTTAAAAAAAAAAAACATGGGAATGCATATATTCCTCCAAGATTCTGATTTCATTTCCTTTAGATGAACCAGAAGTGAGATTACTGAATCAAACATATGGTAGTTCTATTTTTAATTTTGTGTCAAGCTTGTTTACTGTTTTCCATAATGTTTGTCCCAATTTACATTCCCACCAATGGGTAAAGTTCATATTCTCCACACCCTGGTCAGTACTTATTATTTCTTGTCTTTTTGATAATAGTCATTCTAAGATGTGTGAGGTAATATCTCAGCATGGTTTTATATTGCATCCTAATGATTAGTGATGTTGGACATCTTTTCAATACTTGTCCACTTTGATATAATTTTTTTTTGGGGGGCATGCTTATTTTGGCTTTACTTCCCATTTAAAACTTAGCTATTCTTTTGCTATGGATTGGCATGAAAGTTTTATATATTTTCACTATTAATCTTTTACAAGGTATGTAATTTGTAAATATTTCCTCCAATTCTGCTTATCATATATTTTGCTGTTAAGAATATTTTTAGTTTTTTATAGTCCAATTGATTAATTTTTGCTTTTGTCTATTGTACTTTGGAGCTATATGCAAAAAAATCATTCCCAAAACCAATGTCAAGAATTTTTCCCTTCTGTTTTCTTCTATGAACTTTATAATTTTAAGTGTTAAAATTTAAAATCTTGAATCCATTTTGTGTTAATGTCTATGCATAGTGTAAGGTAGAGGTCCAGTTTCTTTCTTTTTCATGTAAACAAGAACTGATCATTTATCTCAGGGATCTGTGGTAGTCAACAACTGTTTGATGGCCAGCCTGTTTGATGGGGAGACAAAGGAAACTGATACAAAGGAGTCATTTGAACTTGCCTAGGTCATTAATTTGACTGTGGATCTGGCTTTTTATATTACCCCAAACCATACTCTTATTATAACAAATCTGTGTTGATCCAGTTTAGGTAAACCTGCTAGGGAATTCAGCCTGGGTGTGGAGAGCTGAGGAAGAGTGTCTGAGTTGAGTTATAGATGCATTGGTGGTACTTTTATGATTTAAATGAATGTTTATATGTAGAGGTGAGTATCTTCTGCCATTGGTTGAAGGTTTGAGAAACGTTGTATGACATTTGGGGAAGGAAGCCCAAGAACATAGTTACTGGGCATAGGTAGAGGTCCAGCAAACGTATAAGAACTAGAGCTTATTCACAAAACCAACCCAGACCTTGGCTGTGAGATTCAGTCAACTTTGTGGATTAAATGAAAATTTCAGGAGTTTTGGCAGTGTGTAGAAACTTCAGACACTGTTTTAAGCTTGCAAGTCTAAATTCTAGTCCTTATCTTTGATGGGGCTTTTATGCAGTCTCACCTGGCTATACTTTTCTTAGGAGATGAGTATGTAAACTTCTTAGATGCCTTCCTCCAACTGGGGATACACAGGATAGATTTATGAGAATAACCACTATGTATGTCACTAAGGTCCCAGCAACATGAGTTGTCTCAATTAACGCTGATTCAGAGGTGGTTACAAATGAAGAATATTTAGAGGGGGATTATTTACAGAGGCGTGGGAGGGGTTGAAGGCTGCTGTACGGAATGGTGAAATATCCAGATGCTAGCAAAGGCAAAAAGTCATTCCTTCCCCTAGTCCTCAAGGGCAAAGGGAGTTAATTTTGTTGGCTTCTGATAAGAACTTAGCTCAGGAGGGGTTGTCCATAGAATGTGTGATCAATGGCTGAGGAATCTAATAACATTTGACTGGTTTGTGCAAAGGGTAACCAGCAAGAGTGGTGAAGTGGCTGAGAGAAGTCAACCTCTCCAGGCTAAGCAGGACTGGGAAGCATGGAAAAGTGAGTTAGGGGGAAATCAGAGAACAAGCAGGGTGGAATCATCACATATTACACACATCCAATGTACTCTCACCAGCTCCAATGAAGCTGCTTCTTCCCTAAGCTGGTGGATCAGTGGTTCTCAAGGACACCATGTCATATCACTGAATCCAAAGAATACACTTCTCCCTATGTCTTGATCTCCCAGGAACAATCAGCTCAGTTACCATCCTTTTCTGTCTGTATCCGATATCTGAATGCTCAAAGGCCTCACTCAGAGGTGGAGCCAGTGGACCCACATTTGTGGGCCTGAAGCTTATATTTTGCAATGTTGCATTCTTTAAATAAAAAGACAAAAATTATACAAAATTAAGTACCAAGTCAATATTTATTCAGAGGGAAGAAACTATTCCAAAATTTTCAATGTTTATAAATACCACACCACAAATATGAAATTTAAAATAACAGCATAATTTTTTTTAAAGATTTATTTATTTGTGCATACAGAACTGGGGTACAGGTCAGAGGCTCAGGGGCGGCGAGAGGCTTCACCAGACACAGAGTGGGGAACAGAACAGGCAGATCGACGAAGAACACTGCTGAGGGGAGCAGCGAGCAGGTCAGAAGAGGTCTGTCACACCATGTGGTCACCTCTGGGGCAGGTGAGAATCGAACTCATGCGGAAGTGGCTTTAGATTCTCAGTGCTGTGCTTTAACCCGCTGCGCCACCAGGGAGGGCCGCAGTATAATTATTTTTAAATGAATTAACTATATCAGGCCTCGCTGGTGATACAAGGGGTTAAGTGTCAGCACTATCAAGTTACTGCCAGCTACTGTCACATGACTTTGTTCTAAGGTGAGGGACATAACCCACATGGCTAAGCAGATCTCACCTGTCTCACCTGCTGCTCCACTCAGCAGTGTATTTCAATAGATCTGCCTGTTCTGCTCCCCACTGTTTCTCTGGTGAATCCTCTCACCTTCTACACTTCTGGCCTACATCCCAGTTCTTGTATGCATAAATAAATAAAATAAATCTTTAAAAACATTATCACCTGACTTATCTTTCTTCCCCTACTGGCCTGACTACATATATATGTTTTAACCTTTGTTACATGACAAGAAAGGTGTAAACTTTCTTATAGAGTGATTAGGAAGAGTAATGCATTATTTCTTCTGGTGGAATAGAAATTGCTTTATATCATGCTTAGTTTAGTAACTTTTCTTTCAGCATTTTTTTTTAAAGATTTATTTATTTATTCATACAGAACTGGGGTACAGGCCAGAGATGCGGAGGGTGAGAGGATTCACCAGAGACAGAGTGGGGAGCAGAACAGGCAGAACAATGAAGTACACTGCTGAGGGGAGCAGCGGGCGGGTCAGGAGAGATCCACATGCCACGCCATGTGGATCTCCTCCAGAACTAATGTGGAAGTGGCTTAAGCTTCTTAGTGCTGTGCTTTAACCTGCTGCGCCACCAGGGAAGGCCCTCTTTCAGCATTTTTATTGGCAATGCTTTATGAAATTTTAGGATGGTCAGCTTGTCTAATTTCTATCAAGTTTCTCTCCTATTTATGCTGTAAAATGTGGACCGTTCAAGTTTTCTTGTGCAGCAATTCATCATAATTACTCTAAAACGGCAATAGTCTTTAACCATTTGTCATCAATGTCCTCATTGCAGTAAGAAATTTATGAGATTTATGCTATCATTAGTATTTTGCCCCAACCCAGTAAAAGCTTTAATTCCTTTTCAATAGCCTCCTAAGAGTCCCTCCATGCTCTTAATGGGATTACCCCAAAACCCACAGCCTATATTTTACTTCTGTTCTAAATTAGTCTTTTCCTCTCTTTTTCTGGCATCCTAATTTAGGACTTTTAACTTGTTTCAAAGTTGCTGAAGCAAAATCATAAAACATTCTACTTTCTTTTACAACCCTCAATGCAGAGCTAATAAAAAAAAAATCCCATCAATTTGTATAAGAACATTTCTTTAAGGGGGAGAAAAGATTATGAATTCAAAACTTAGGTGTTAGCCTTATCACTCATCCCTTTAAGAAGTTTCTATGAATACCCAGTCAGAGCCAACAGGGAACTAGCCTTGAAATGTTAACTACATGCATTTCTTAGGAGACCACAGGATTACATACTGTTGTACAATGTCCTCAGAAGATTCTGCCATTGATCAGGTAACAGAAACACAACATACAGTCTTTGCAGACTGAAGAGTGAAACGCAGGAATAGAGGCAACTATGGCTATAAGTATAGCTACCTGTAAGTAGGAGTAGGTATATAAGGTGTATTAAATGTTTGATATTTCACTCAAACTTCATGTTTCCAAAACAAACTGACTACCAAACTTCTTGTTCTGTCTTCCAAATGGACTTTGAGTTTGTCCAGTCCTTTCTGTTTCCAGAGTTTCAGCACAAATTCAGAACCTCAAATTAAGCACCTTAGGCATCAGACCTTCAAGCTTTCATCTACCACATAGCCTATTTTTTTTTTAAGATTATGTATTTATACATACAAGAACTAGGGTATAGGCCAAAGGCCCAGGAGGGTAAGAGGATTTACCAGAGACAGAATGGGGAGGAGAACAGTCAGATCCACTGACTACTCTGA